CGCCCCCTAAACAATAAACATTAAAAAAAATTTTTTTAATATTTATCTTTAAAGGCATTTTAGCAATGAAATGTCTTTTTTTTTAAGCATCATGAATCATTCTGAGCAAGAAGTTACATACCCATTTTCTGCTTTCCTTTTTAAAGAATCCTGTTCTTTTAGGAGTGTTTGATGTTCATCATAAGCATTCAGAAGCCTGAGAGGGAAGGAAAAATAACATCCTATGGAATATACAAAAGCCAAACTGTTAAAGTTTCAAAGTTTGGACTTACTTTCACTTGGTAACAAAAATATGTTGCAATGAACATAATTATTTTTTTTTTTTTAATGAACCTGCAAGCAAACCTCCTCCCAGCCACCTTTTCCAATTTATTTCCTCTTGGGAAACCACTGCTCTACACTTTCCTTCTCAGTCCATGTGATTCAAATGGGGCTTCAGGGATTCAGAACTGGCCAACCACAGCACTATATACCCCTGACCAATAATTGGTTTAGAGTGAACATTTGACCCAAACCAAGACGTTTAATAACTCCCAGGATTTTTGAGCTACTAGAAAAGTGCCTGTTCTCACTACTACAGTTGACTGAGCTGATGGGATATTGGTCAAGAACTACCTTTTATTATCATTTCTAACACACGGGGAGAGCCTGCCTAAGAAGTTATTGTACAACTGAGACAGTGGCCTTGAGGATGTGTTTTTGTCCAGTGCAAAGAAGTCCTGAATGTTCTGTAATTTCTACATTTTTGAAATCTAACCATGCTTATTAAAGACACTTGACACCAGTTAGGATCAAGTGTATTTAAACTTTGACCATGTGATAAACTGAATTAGAACTAATATAAAAGTACAATATAATTTTTATCACTGATGAAGATTTTTTTTTAATAAAAAAATTCCGACATAATACGCGTATTAAGTCTCACCTGGAACTCAGAACTTCAAAAACAATGTCACTTGAAGCCAAACTGACAGAAAAATCCTAAAGATTCTGTTTTCCTTTTACCATTTTCTGAAATATTTTTTTTAAAAACAAAGATGGCCTTATTTTTTAAAGTAATCATTAACCCTAACACAGATAGTTAATATTTCTGTAGAAATGACCTTGATAATTTACATGCATATACAACATCCCTGAGCAATCTGCATATATACACATCCAATGATAACAACAAATAACTCTGGCCCCAAAATGTTCAAGAGGCTATAAATTGTTAATCCCAGTGCTCTGGTTGTTCCTCAACACCAAGCACTTTAAATGGACTAATTTCCTTAAGGCTTAAGGAATCCACTTATGGATTAGGTGGTAAGAGACTCAATCTATACATGAGAAAATCTGAAAAGTGAGGAATACACAAATAGTAAGTGACACAGCTAGGATTTAAGCATATATTTAGCTGAATTAAACATCAATTCATGAGTACTAAGGGGGGGGCACTTGTGGTGGCCACTGGGTGTTGTATGTAAGTGATGAATCACTGAATTCAACTCCTGAAACCAATACTGCACTGTATGTTGGCTAACTAAAATTAAAAAGAAATAAAAAATCAGTTCTTACCAATACATACTACCTAAATTCCTAAATTTCTAATTTCTAAGCTCATCTATTTTTCAGTCAAACCCTTTTTAAATTTCAACTACAACAATCTTAGACCTGATATCCAGACCCTCTATAATTTTATTTGCAAGGACCTGTTATCTTTGTGTTAAGCCTCAGATTTGTCCACATATTACTGCCAATTTCAAATATGTCATTTAATCCCAGTCAAAATTCTTAATAGCTTCCTACTGTCAATCATGGCACTGCGTGTGCTCTGAACCAAGCACAGCACAATCAACATCACACCTTCTACTTCAAAAATCCTCCCATCAAGCAGATGTTACTTTCACATGAACTTTAACTTTCTTCCACAATTTTATTCTTTCCTTACCAGAATCCCATAGTACCCAAATGAAGCCCCATCTCCTCTGTGAAGGATGACAAATCCATTCTGATCCATAGAAAGCACAGCCTTCTTAACAGTTCTGTGCCACCTCATATACTTACCTATTTCCTCTGATTAAACCATCCAACTAGACTAGAAGCTAGAATTACATATCCCATTTCTTTTGTGCACTTTCTTCAGTGCAAAACAAACAGAAGACACTAAATATACAGCACAGGTGGTTAGCAGCATAGACTTTGAAGCAAGTTCTAATCCCAGTTGCACAATGTAATAATAGCTAACTGACCTTGGAAAAACTTCCTAATCTCTTTAAGCCTCTCTTCATCTATTAAAAGAACAACAGTAGCAACAAAAAAATAAGAACAGTACCTACAACCTCATTAGACTGTTAGGTATTTTACAGTAGACAATTCATGGAAAACATTTACTATGATGTAAAGCACATATATACAACTGTATTAAAATTTAACTTCTGTTAAATGTTTTTTAATTTTACTCAACCACCAAAAATGTATACACACATACATAAACAGAGACAAATAATCCTCATTTTATCAACAGCTGTTTCAATAGAAATCACTCTAAATTAGGGTAATTAGAGAAGGGACATGCCTTATAAGAACTGTGATAGTTCCCTACTACAATCAGTTAAGAATGGAACAGCAGCAATGCTCTAATCAATACTTCTGCTCTTCTATTTTGTAAATATAAGTTGCAAACTTGTCCTTTTCCCAAATCCCCTAGAGTAAACCCTTCCACCACCCTCAACTTTCAGCTTTTTACAATGCATGAAATAAGGCCACTAGGCATCATCTGTGCAACCATACTGTTTCCTCCAATCAGAGATAAAATGGCATCCCTATTCTAGATTAACCACATCCACCTTTTGTGGTGTATATACTGTTTCTGTGTTTCAAGGTTCAATCCTTGACCCATTTACTTTTTCAAAGGATTTGCTGTTTCTTGCCTTCTCATTGTTTACATTACAATGCCAAAATTTTGAAGACAATTTGAAGGAAAGACAAACCATATATCCTGTTACACATACACATTTGCAAAACTGAATTTACCCCCATATATGAGGAAAAAGAAATATGTTAACTTCTACTAATCATTAAACTCATACAAAATTATTAATGCTCATTTATTATTCAAATAATATATAATTAAGATCTTACTTATTAACATCTGAACCAAAATCTTCAAGAAACTCCACTTTTCTCTGAGAAAATGTAATTCTCATTTTAATAGGTAATGAACCATGTATAGCTTTGTCAAAACAATTTAGGATATTTTCTTCATTTTGTTTGAGGTCACCACTATATTCCATTTCAAGTAAATTGAGGTATAACTTTGTATTCTCCTGTGTAAAAAGCAGTATCAATTAATAATATTTCTAAAATGTTTTGATTAGAACACAGATATTTAAAATGTCTTAATTTTTATGCCTAAATTTGAAAAATATTGAAAGCCATTAAAATGTAACTCAAGTTAAATATTTTCAGCATACACATAACAGGTGAAAAAACTAATTAGCATACTGATAAGTAATGACATCATCCTGGTATTAAAACTATTAAAATTATTAAATGCCAATAAGTTAAGACCCTGTATCTTATCTTAGGTTTACTGTGGCTTGACCTACCATGACAAATATAAAACATTAAAAAATGGTTTCCACAGTTCCACAGATCTGTCATTAGCTTAAAATCTAAAAAGTAGGAAATTTCCTATACACTGCCTTTTGCCAACCGATATGTAAAACGAAATACTTTAAAAAAGAATCTGTTACAGTTGCTAAAACGTAGACATCTGCCATGTTTTTGTTTATAAAGTACTCTCGCAGGTCCTCTACTTAAAACTATCAGTAAATTTGTTGTGAAATTTCTAAATGTGAGGGAAATACAAAGTGTCACAATGTCTGCAACACTTTTTAACCCAATAATCTTAATTTTCTCAACCTTTTAATACATAATAATTTAAACAATTGTTAAAGATGGCAACATCAGTTTAGAGGGACTGTTGTCTTCATTTAGTAATAAAATATATTACATACAGACCAAATCTTTCATCATAGTTGCCAAAATGGGAAAGAAAAAAAACAAAAATGACCATTTATTTTTTTTTTATGGAAGATATTCTAAAATACAAATACATACTTTGTCTCTTTCGATTGCTTCCAAAAGCACCTTTCTTGATTTTGGAAGGTTTTTTTGTATTTTGAAAAGATGTCGGGCTAGTTTGATAGCATAAAACGATGATTCATTATTTGATTTAGCATTCTTAATGGCATCCTGAAGCAAATGTTCAGCTTCTTCCATATTTCCATGCCGTCGTTCTAAACTTACTCTTCTCAATCGAACCATTGCCAATCCTAGAACACATTCTTCAAATGTTCTCAAGATATTCCTGGCTTCGTTAATATTACCTAGAAATGTTAATTAAATGTTTATGCTTTGATTTAAACTTCTGAAATATCCTTTATGCCAGGTATTGGCAAATAACAGTCCACAGGCTAAATCTAGCCCTCTGCCTGGTTGTTTTTTTTAATTGAAAATAACCGTGCTCATTTGTTTATCTATGGTCTACAGATGCTTTTGGGTGGGCTACAATGGCAGGGTTGTCAGGAAAGAGACCATATGGCCTTCAAAGCCTAAAATATTCACTATCTGGCCTTTAATAGAAAAAAAGTTTACCCCCTGAAGGAAGAAAAGCAAAAACAAAAAACAAGACTGACCTCTGCTCTATACCATCCCTCAAGACTCAATTCCTAGAACTTTATCTTGAAGTTAACTTAAAATCCCAAAAATATCAACTGAATTTCCTCATTCTTACCCTGCTGTTCCTCAAAAGCTGCCCAAAGCATATGCACCATGGGTTTCTTTGGGAGATGAATAGTGCAAGCTCTGCTGAAGACATGCCTCACTCCTTCAATGCTATGGTTTTCCATGTACTTGGCATACTACATACAGAAACAGAGGAAATACTGAATAATTTACAGTTGAACAAGCCATTAAATATGTGACAGAACGATAAAATTCTATTTTTAAACCCATTCAGCACCTTTATTGAACCACTAGACTAGTTTCTGTAAGGAAGGACGAAGAGAGGCAACGAGGTTGGCATATGCAGCAGTCAAATCTGGTTGCAAGCAGACCATCTCCTAATGCAACAGATATAGTTATATGAACAACATTCAACAGAAGTACAAAAAAGGTTAGTCACTAGATCAATGTTTATAATATGTTCAAGTTTCAGAGCATATAATTTTCTTACCTTAATCCAAAACTCCTCATAGAGGGCACATGATATGACACATCTTTCAAAGAGAACCACAACTCGTTCATGAGTCCCGTTTTCTATTTCAAATTCTAAGTATTCTTTCCAGTTTTTTAGTTGTGCCTTCTCCAATGGTTTCACATGAAAATAAGGTCTTTTAATCTGTAACAAAAGTATAACAGGAAAAAAAAGTAGGACATTGCAACGAAAGTAAACCAATACCAACACCAGAAAACACTAGACTATAGGAACAATACAAACTATCTAAACTATGTACATAATTAATGATGGTGAACCAAGAAAATTTTCATCACCATATTTCATGATAAAAAAATACAACTAAAACCCCTTAAATTTCTTAGGCTTTAAAAACTGAAGAAACAGAATGTATTCTCTATTTAGTCATTTTAATGGCACTACATAATTTTTTTTATTTTCAGCAAATTTATTTCTTTATTGAGTAATTTAAAATTGAACAATTATGCTACATAACAGAAAGCAGATCAGTAGGTAACTGGGGCTAGGAGTGGGATACAGGTTACTGAATGAAATGGGGCAAGGGAACTTTCTGGGATGACAGACTAGTTCTATGTCCTAATTGCTGTAGTGTGCCATACCATAATGTACATATACATGCCAAAACTGAATTTACTAGCCAGTCACAAAAAACCAAATACTGTATGATTCCACTCTCATATGAAAGGCCAGAATAGGGAAATCTATAGAAACATCGAGGAGATTAGTGGTACCTTAGGACTAGAGCAGGCAGGTGAGGTAGTAGAGGGGTGACAGCTAAAAAGCAAGGTTTGTTTTGTTTTTTTAATGTGCATGTGCACACGAGCAGGAGAGGGGCAGAGAGAGGAAGAGAGAATCCCAAGCAGACTCCATGCTGTTAGCACAGAGCCCGATGTGATGCTCTCTCTCACAAACCAGGGGATCATGACCTGAGCCAAAATCAAGAGTTGGATGCTGGGGCACCTGGATGGCTCAGTTGGTTGAGCGACCAACTTCGGCTCAGGTCATGATCTCACAGTTTGTGAGTTCGAGCCCCACGTCGGGCTCTGTGCTGACAGCTCAGAGCCTGGAGCCTGCTTCGGATTCTGTCTTCCCCTCTCTCTGCCCTCCCCTGCTCAAGCTCTGTGTGTGTCTCTGTCTCCCTCAATAATAAATAAACGTCTTAAAAAAAAAAAAAAAAAAGTCAGATGCTTAAGCAACTCAGTGACCCAGGCGCCCCAAGGATAAGGAATTTGTGAGGTGATGAAAATGTTCCAAATTGCACTATGGTGATTGCTGCATGTATCTGTGAATACACTAAGAACTACTGAATTATACACTTTAAATGGGTAAACTATATGGTAAGTGAATTATATCTCGATAAAGCTATTTCAAAAACAAAAATAATTAGAATCTGTGGGGGAAAACCTTCATTTTACTACACATCTAAAATGGGTGTATTTTGTAATACGTAAAGTATGAACTCAAACTTGATTCTAAAAACAGAACTATAATAAAATGGTTCAGAGTAAACATATCTTGCAAATCAAATAAATCTGAATTCATTCTATAAGATTCTAAAATTAATAACAGAAAACTGATAATGGTAGAGATAAGTGGGACAAATGTCTTATTACTTAAATAAACAAAATAGTAAAGACATTAGTCAAAACGGAAAAATACATTATTCCTATTTTTATATTTTGAAGCCTATTACAAAACAAAAACACTTACACCTTCTTCAAATGTCCACCTTTTACTAACTTCATGCTCATTATAATTAAACATTTCTTGATGAATTTCAATGATTCTATGTCTCATATTTTCTATTTCTGTAATTAGCTTGGGAAGAAAAAGAAAAAATTTAAATCACACAAGTTAGATAATGAAATTTTTTAATATTACTGCTTACATTTAAGTATTATTCACACCTACTTTAATCTTATAATTGTGATAAGTTTTAAGCTGTTATCAATTATGTGTAAGGTACAATTAACAATACTAAAAGTTAGTTAAAAATCTCCTTAAAAAAAAACCCACTTTCTCATGTGTATGTATTTAAAAGAGGCTAGTAGATCACAACACAGGCAAAATGCCCCTTCTAAGCTATTTCCAGGTGTCTCATAGTAAAATAGATTCTCTACGTTAAATCTGTATTTAAACTACACCAGAGCTAAAGAATTCCCACTTGCCTCAATCAGAAATTAATTTTATATGAGCTACAAGTGACACAACACATGAAGTAAAGGGATATAAAGTCTAGTTTCTCATGCATTAAAGGATTTTTTCCCTAAGTTTAGTTACCTTTGCTGGATCTGTTATGTCTTCAATTCCCGATGGTAGATCATCACCAGGAGGACCATCATCACCACTATGTCCATTTACAGAAGCTAATTCCCTTCGCAGCTGAATAAACTGTTCACCAGTTAACAGATCTCTAGGCAAGTTATTCTGTACATGTTCTTTAAATCTAAAAGAAGCCAATGAAAATAAATGCTCTATATACGAAGCGTAATTTTAGATCCCATTTTCAATTACTACTACACATTACTCTTCCAAAAAAATTGATTTAAAACCAAACCCTTTCCTTGTCTATAGTGAAAGCTACCACTTGATTAAATGGTCTACAGACAACTTAATTTTCTTCATGCCTTGGCAATGGAATGGACATAGCATGGAGAGGCATAAATCCAAATCCTAGTTCTGTCCATTATTAGTTATTTGACTTATGGGAAGTTTTCCCTTCTTTATGTCTTGGCTTTCTCATCTGTAAAATGGCACAATGCTATTTTGCAAAGTTTTCTCTTTCTTTCTGCAAAATTACTTTAAAATAATAGTAATCCCTATTTAAATTATAAATGATCATTTATAAATGATCAACAAACATTTGTAGCTCCTTCCCACTTCTCAATTACTCCTGAATCTGTCTGTGCCAAAAACTTCAATGAAATTGCCCTAATTAAAGCCACCAAGTGCCTTTTACATGCAAAATTAAATGGACACTTGTTTCACAGTACAGCCTCTATCCTAAACGTTATCACTATCACTTAAGTCTTCACTACTTAAGCCCTTTAACCACACTTTCCTTTTAGAACCTTCTTTGCCCTTGGCTCAGAGTTACTGCGTTCTTGGTTTTCTTCCAAGTCTCTGACTGATCCTTGATCTCCTCTGAGGGTTGTCCCTTCCTATCAGTCCCTAAATGTTAGGATTGCCAAGGACTCCATCTGACATTTTGTTCTCATCTATTTTCATTTAATTCATGCCCAATCTTATTAATAACAGAAATAATAAGCATCCTATGGTGACTCTAAAACCTATAACTCAAGCCCATACTTTTCTATCCAATTGCCAAAACTCTGCACAAAGAAATAGGTTAATTTTAAGCAAAAAGTGTTTTGGAAAAAAAGTCATTTCATTTTATCCATGCACACTAGTTTATATATATGCAAATTTTAATAAAAAAACACCAAGCTAAAGACCTAAAATAGCTACACTATCTAAATTTGGAAATTTTACGCAACATCTTGAACTAATTGTGTCATTTCATCCACAATCAACACCCTCAGCATTTCTAATTTTGATTAATGGTACTGCCAACCACTCAGTTTCTACATCTCTTCTATTTTGCTTTTATCATTTACATTCCACTGGGTACCAGGTCCTATTGATTTCACCTTCTAAATATAAACTGCTCTTCCAGCCTCTAGTCTCACTATTCCCATCTCAACCCCAATATTGCTATAAAAATATTAAAAAGTAAACATGAAAAACAAAATAGTAAACATGATCATATCCTCCCCGCCCCCCAGCCCATGTCAAAATAACTTCAGTACATTTACCCTGCATTCAGGCTAAAATCCAATCTCCTTAGATAAAGTCTTTATGCTGATCCAAACCAACCTCTCCAATCAAATTATTACACATAGTTGTATATTTATCTTATGTTCCAATCTTATGGATATTTTCCCAAGTTTCTTAAAACTGATTTAGGCTACTGACACCTGAATTTTTATGGATTTTAAGGCTGTCACTCATGTATGTAAATAACATTGGAAACTAATCTAAATTTTGCATAGTCAATGGATACAGAGGCTTAACTTGGATCCGTTTCACCACTGGGAGACAAAAAATACAGACTTCCTTATTAAAAAAATTTTTTTAATGAAGAACTCAAAAGTATAGTAAGAAAATGAACAGATTTAATATTCATATAAATATTAAAATTGTTAGGATACAAATAAAAAACTTTTAACTACTTACAGAGCACAAACTTAAAATAACTGCTATGTTATATAGGAAATTCTTTCAAATGGTGATAAAATAGGAATACTAAGCAGTAATTTTTCATCAGCCTTTTTTCTACTGAAAACTAATTTATTCAATAAAGAATGACTGAGTATCTAATATACTGAGCCCTATTCCTAGGTATTAAGGATAAAAAGTATTAGTAAGTCTCAGAAACTGACCAATGTGCAAGAACTATATACAAGAGACATAAATTTAAAGTGGTGTTATTAGCGTTAAGACAAATGTAAATAAATAGGCAGAGTGCTGGCACAAATGACAGAAATACTTTCTATTTTGCTAAACTAGAGAAAGTTTCATATAGAAAACATTAAGCTATCTGGTTTTGAGTAATATGAGCAACCAGACAAATGGGGAAGCAGAAAAGGTATCACAGCCATAGAAGTAAAAAATACTGCCCTTTGGGAAATTATCAGTATTTAGATATTATTTCTGGAGCTTAGGAACTACGAGGGCATGGGTCTGAGAAGTTAGATCACATCAACAAAGTCCACATGCTAACAATATTTTAAATTAGATACTTTCTTAGAGATGTCATCAGTGTATATCCAGTATACAAACCTACACAACAGAAAAACTATTACAGCACTTAGAACACTTTTTAAAAAAAATATGCGCTTCCTCTTCTACATTTTCAACAAGCTTGACGGCCAACACCATTCACACATAACTTGTTTGAGCCTTTATTTCTACAACTTAAATGGTATATAATCTTTTACATAGCTAGTGCTAAATAAACAACTAGTAGGAGGAGTGTATTAGGCAAAAGAAAACATTCCCCTAGTTCACAAAGCAGTTAGTCATGTCATAAGATTTACTTACACAAACACTACTTGTGAGTTTGCTATATACACTGATAAGGAAAATGTCAAAATATTAAAAGAACAAGAGCAGATTAAAGAGCAATATTTGTAATGCAATCCACTAATGTCTATTATAAGCATCTATACATTTTTAAAAATCTAGTGGGATATTCATTTAATAACAAAAAAAAAGATGTGGAGGAAACTATACCAAGAACTTTGGAGCCACACTGTCTAGGTTCCAAACAGCTTCCAACTAACTAACTCTGTGACATCATGCAAGTATTTTAATCTTTCTGTGCCTCTACTTCCATAAAATGGGGATAATAATAGTACCTATACCTCACTGGCTTCATGTGAGGATTAAATTAACTATATGGGATTCAGAACAGCATCTCGTACATGGCAAATGGTATATAACAAGTGTTTCCTAATTTATCTTTCTTACCAACAATAAAGTTCTTATTGTCACAGACTTTGTATCTATACTATAGATCCTAGAAAAATTGGCATGTGAAAAGGCACCCTCTTGTTCTCATAAGGATTTTTAAAAACTTTGTGTTCACTCATTCTTTCAAACATTCACCAAGCATTTGCATATGGGAAGTCTTGTGTTAATAATGTCTTTTAGCAAGTTTCTGCCTAGAAACCTGTGCATCTCCTATACTCCATAAAAAAACAAAGACAGCATATTCAGATCTACATCATTCCTATTCCTAAACTGGATCAGCATAACTTCTGTCTTTAGCAAACTGATCCATGGTACTTTTCAGATGCTTAAGTCTTCTACTTTTTCAGTAAAGAAAAATTTAGAAAATCCTTCAAAAAGTACCTAACTTACAGGCTTTAACACAATACTACTTATAAAAATTGTAACAAACTATAGAAAATATGGTAGCTAAAAAAGCAAGTATTTATCAACATAGTAAATACTTACAACACATACTTTCTTGTTCAGAAAGACTTTGAGTCCATATCAGTGGGACACTTTGAGTACATCAGAAAACAGAATGTGGAAATCGTATCACACAGAATTAGTTGTTTTAATAGTACTCATAAAAATGAAATGATACCGGTCAGGACAAATTCATAGTGGAAAATTTAAATGAAATTATTTTTTATTTTGATTTTGATTTTTGATTTTGATTTTGATATAAACAGATCTAGATTTACTACATAAATAATAGATCTTTCACAGTTTTGAACATAAGGTATTATATGAATCACAAAAATGTACCTTTAGTACATCATTGTTTTTTTTTAACTTTTTTTTCTTAAGTAATCTCTACACCCAAAGTGGGGCTCAAACTTAAAACCCTGAGATCGAGTCATATGCTCCACTGACTAAGCCAACCAAGGCATCCTAAGTAAATCATTAAGTTCTAAATAAGCATCTTTATGTGCCATGTACACTGTTAATTTAGTACCACAAAAAATAATTAAAATTTGATTCTATTTTCTCATTCTTCACCACTCTGAAATATCTTAGGAGTCCCATTATTCTTCATCTATAAAAGGGGTATAGAGAAACTTCTGTTTAAAAATGGTTAAAATTCCTAAACATTTCATAAGGTATGTGGAAAAATATCAAAATTCAAAAGTGTGTAAATTGTGATTATCAAGCAAGAAACTTTATTCCTGTTTGTATCTAAAAGAATCTTACATGATATTTCAAGAGAATTACAATCCTCAATATTAAGAATTATCTGATTAATCATAATATATCTTAATGATCGGACTTTTCCACCCACCTCTGAAAATGATGACTGTACAGCTGTGTTGGAATACCAAGAATGCGATCATATATAGCTGTAACTTCTCTCAGGTTTCCCTGTTCATTTTCCCAGTTTATATACATTTCCCATAGTCTGTCAGATCGGAAATCTGTTCCTGCAGCTAAAACAGCATGCTCGAAAGTTCTGAAAAATTAAATTACTTCTAAGTTATCTTTCCAAGATAAAATCACTTTTAAAATATTATTTCTACACCCTGCAATATATACAGATATCAAATCCTTAAGTTGTACGCCTAAAACTATTATGTCAATTATACCTCAATTTCAAAAAATTTTTAAAAATTAAAACATTATTTCTAAATTTCAGAAGATTATGCTAAATTCAAAATTATATTCAACTGCTTCTCATATAAGCAGGGAGCAAAAAGCAGAAGGAATAACGCAAGTATACAATAACTAATTATTAAAAAAGAGTAAGGAAACAAAAAGGGAATATATATATGTTTATAGAATTTTATCTTATACAGAATTATAATGCAAACATACACACTGCAAACATATAGAGTGTCAATGCAGACACTTAAATATTTGTTAAACTTGAAATGTTGAATAGATACATTCTGCAGAAGACAGAAACTAATTTTATCTCAATTTAAGGAATAATTTTCTGGAAAAATAACTCCAAGAAGGGACCCAGCTGCCTTGTAACGGAATGAGAAGTAGACATATATTTTAAAACTTTCAAAAGTCTCTCCTGCTATGTCTCCAGCTAACTAAAAAATAACTAAAAAACAAACAAAAAAAACCACATGTATTTTTAAACTACCTAACTCATTTCAAAGAGATTTGTGTAAGCAATTTTAATCACTGGATTTGACATCCCGATGGGATAAAACTTTTAGATACACATTTTCAAAATAAGTATCTTATAATCAACAGGGGTTTTTAACAGTATAAAAGTACCCTGCCTAGATTAACCTACAACTTTAATACAATCCCAATCAAAGCTCTAAAAAATTTTGAGTGGGTCAGGTAAAACAAATTCTAACAGTGAGCTAACATACAAAAAGGGCAATGCAGTGGCATTTTCCTGAAAGACATCAAAAGAAATTAGGAAGCTATAGTAATTAAAAGTATGGCACTAGCCAGGTAACATAAAAATGGATCACAAAATAGTTTCAAGAAAACAAAATAGATCAATGTACATGTGAAAGATTAGTATATGATAAAGAAGTTATTTTAAACCAACATAGAAAAGCCTGACAAAATAAAAGGTTAATTTGTGTCTTAAAAAAGATACAAATTTAAATGCTAGATGAATAAATGGTAACAAAAAACTATTAAGAAATTAGAAGAAAACACCAGATTTATATATTCTTGACAAGATAGGCACAAAACTCAGACACCAACAAAAGATTAAAGACTGAGCCACATTAAGAAAAAAATGATAAAAAGACATGATAAAGAAACATCCTAAACAAACTTTAAAGAATGTGTTATGTGCTAAAACTGGAGGGAATATGTTAATATAGGTAATAAAGGATTGAGTGTGTATGTGTGTGCATGCACATGTGTATGTTTATATCTAACCTTTTTAAGACAGTAAAACACATGTTACTGCCCCTGCAGAATCCCAAAATGATTCAGGAAATTAACACACCAGACACTAAGAAAAGTTGGGGAGTTGGGAGAGGAAGTATGATAAGAAGGTAATGAACTAAAGACAGGATGTTACAAGAAGATTTGTTTAATGAATGGTAAGAAACCTTAAACCCTCTTCTTTTCTGCCCAGCTATGGGATTTCAGGAGCTAGGTATACATTCTCCAGGCAGATCAGATGATCCTTAAATGAGAAACCACCTGACACAGGAGTAAGATATAAGAATACCAACACTGGGATTCCCCCAACAAAAACCTGAGTGGCCACTTGACCATGCTACTGTGAAGCTTGCCAGGCCAACTAATAGCCCACAAACAAGACCCACAGAGCTTACATTCCATTTATTAAAATCACATCTTTAACATGAACAGAAATCCAGATATCACACAAGTCAGAGACAAAAACAAGTAAACAGAAACACTTTAGAGGAAACAGTGCTGGGAGTAGAGGAAAACATCAACATTTCTTAATACCTTTTAAAAAATAATAAAAATACATTAACCCACATAACAAGAATAGGAGACTGTAAGAACAGGAACAATGAGGGACACGTGGGTGGCTCAGTCAGTTAAGCAA